AGAGTACAGGAAACAGGAAATTTCTGGTTTCGAACCAGCTGAGCAGCTGGGGCCTTTCTGTATGGAGTTTGGATGTTACCCCTGTGTCTGTGTTGGTTTCTAATTAGAAGGAGGAGGAAATCTGGTGATTCTAAATCTACTGTTGGTGTGAATATGAGCATAAATGTCTGTCTACAGTGAACCTGGTCACTTTGTGATCACACCGCTGTTAATATCATAATCATAACATCATATAATCATGAGCTGCGGTGTAGTAAGCCGTCTTAAACTATCTTTTATTTGGATTTAACCCGTAAAGCACAGACACTTTCTTCTGATGAATTATATTAATGATTTTTTTTTTGTAATGTAGCCAACACTGACTACAGCATGTCCATTTTTTTCTTTTCCAGAGCTGTATAGCTAAACATGAGTCAAATGGTATTGATATTATTATAGCACTGATTGTCAACGCCATCAACCCCCTGGGTAAGGATCGCCTGGACCTGGTGCTGCAACTCAAGGTGAGCAGTAGTTGTATGAGAGGTCTGGGAGGCGACACATTTCCATTACCCTATTATATACTTAAATTGCTGCATAGTATTAATTAAATATAGATAACAATTGTGCAATGATGAAAAAGGCAACAGGGCAAATAAAGCCCATGTTTACTGGCTGTCTGACTGCAGATGTCTTTAGTAGTACAACCCTTTAGTCGAATCACAGCACTCTGAAAAAACTGTATTGTATTGTTGGGTTTTTTTTCCCTTCAATTATTCAGCTTTGTGTAACTGATCAAAATATAAAAGCTGATTATTTTGAAACGTGTATCATAGAACAATGCCTCCAAGCTCCTGTTAGCTATCATGGAGAGCTGCCATGACAGTGAGAACGCAGAGAAGATTCTCTACAAGATGAGACCCACTGAATTGGTGAGTGTGGTCATGCATGCACGCAAACTACATCTGACAAGTGCGCTGCAAAAACTGTGACTTCTAAAACACATTTGCTTCAGGTGGATGTCATGAAGGACGCCTACAAACAGGGTTTGCAGAGTGAAGATGACGACGACGGCATGGGAGACGAGATCAAACCTAAAGATGTCGGACACAACATTTACATCCTGGCCCACCAGGTAAAAGAAAAGATTAAACTTGAGTTAGTCTAAAGTGGTCAGACAAACAGAGGAAATGCAGTGATGCTTTAGTCTAATGACCAGTGGGCCAGTGCAGTGCAGGAGTACCAAGTGATGGAAGAGTGCTTCTCTGAATGAACTGCTCTGACAGTTTTCTGAAATGAGTTTTTGTGTTGTGACATTGGCTCTACTGACAGATAGGCTTTAGGCTTTAGGCGTTTTCACTGAGGCAGTTAGTCTCTGCACAACTAAATACACATGGTTTGCTTTGTCCAGGGATCAGGAACGAGGGAATGAGGCAGGAGTACTGTACCCCTGAGAAATGTGTTTTTGTTCTAAATGTGTGTGTCCATCTGACGTGTCTCAGTCTTTGTCTACGCTGTTTGTAAGTTGTTGAGAGCAAGCCAAGTCTTGTGGGTTTTCACTTCTGTCTCTTTAGAGCAAAGTGTCAGACAGGATATTTTGGTCTGCAGAGCAGACGAGTTTCATCATGAGAAGGAAGTGTGCATGTTTTTTTTTTTTGTTACATTTTATTTTTTTATGTTTGACTTTTTTAAAAATAACCTTTCAGCTTAAAACAGGAATGCACAAATGTGTGCATCAGCTTTGAAATATATTTTCTGATTATCTAAATAAACAAATTAAATTGATAAAATAAAAGAAACAAGAGGTAGAATGCACAAACTAAATGGTTCTTAATTTCTCTACAATTGCCTATTTTAAAGGAGTAAAATAGATGTTTAAAATATAATAATAATAATAAATAAAAACCTCAGCAAGTATTCAGAACTCAGAATGTTTTCCACAATATTTTTCTCTAACAAACCATGTTAAGTTTCCCTCACCTAAAAAGAGAAGCAGAAAAAAAAAAGGAAATCTAATTTGTTGACTGAACCTAGATTTTTAGTTGACCTCGGTGTACACAAAACAGGTAAACAACACAGGAAAGGAAAAAGGCCAGAACCCGTTTCTTACTCATCTATTAATTCTTGTGCCACAGGTGTCCTTTTCAATGTCTTTTTATCAACAAGGATACATAAAAACTACCTCTGCAGAGTGTGGGGAAAGAAAGAAACTGTTGCTGGTTTCTGGTTTGGATCTGGATCACTTTAAAACTGTGAAATAATTCAATTCCTTTAATGGGAGATGGCAGCTTTAGCTCAACAAGGCCATAAAGCTTGAATTTGAACGATATATAGACATTACTTACAGTTGTTTTGGGCTCATCATGGGTATGAATTTCACAACAATTTAGGGCTTTTTCCAGGGTGGAATCATTGTATACTTTACATCTTTAATGGCTTTAGAAAACAAGAATTGGGTGCACAAGATTGCATTTATTTTGGACTTTCAAAAATATATAAACAGTGATCAAATATATGTATTAAATATCTCTTAATAAGTTGCATCTCGACCACACACACACCTTTTGATAGTGATCAACAATTTTCTGGCATAATTCTGCTTAGATATTTGGCCACTCTTCTTGGCAGAATTTATTTAAATTGGTTGTCACACACCTGGGTTTTAGACCTGCTCCAAAATCCTCAAATAGAGGTGAGTTCATGGAGTTGGGAAGGCCATTCCAGAAGCTTAATGTTAGCCTGGTCTGTCCATCCCAAAACCAGTTTTGATGCGTGTTTGGGATCATTGCTCTGATGGAAAGCCCAATTTTGCCAAATTTTCAACCATTTAGATGTTAATTTAATGTGAGGTGAAAGAACTTCCTTCATTATTCCATCCACTTTGTGCGGTGTACCAGTACTACTGACAGCAAAACGTCCCAGAGCACAATGCTACCACCACCATGCTTGGCAGTTGAGTGTTCTTAGTGTGAAAGCCTCACCTTTACTCCGCGAAACATACCTCTTGTCATCATGGCACTACCTTTGTCTCCGCTGACCATAAAACTTTTCTCCAGAAGGAATATTTCTTGTCCATATGGGCTATTTCAAATTTCAATCAAGGTTAAAGCAGCACCCAGTTCTTGTTTTCCAAAGTCACAGTCACGTCTTGTAAAATCCATAAAAATGACCATGACATTAACGCTCATGAGGAGATTTTGTAAACCATATTTGTTTAGTTTTGGTTCACTACTGGTTACAGTATCCAGTGTAGTGCAGCAAAATCATATCTTCATATTAATCATATTTCTTCATTCCTAGTTGGCCAGGCACAACAAAATCTTGCAGCAGAGCCTCACCCCTGGGTCAGGGTTAGGTCTGGGGTCAGGCATGGACTACGATAAAGAAAAGGATGATGCCCTCCGTTACTATGCGAACCACACAGCTCAGATAGAGGTAATCTGCATCATCAATTTGTTATTTATCCTAAATCTTAAATCGTTCGTCAAACTATAAAACTGTAAGCCAAACCTTTAATCTTTGTTATCAGATTGTGCGTAATGACCGCAGCATGGAGCAGATAGTCTTTCCAGTTCCTAACATCTGCGAGTACCTAACTGAGGAGTCAAAGACGCGTGTGTTCACCACCACTGAGAGAGATGACCAAGGCAGCAAGGTTAATGACTTCTTCCACCAGTTTGACAACCTCTACAATGAGATGAGGTGGCAGAAGAAGATCCGCAGTAAGTCTTCCTTACATTCGGCATCCCAGTTCTTGGAAAATAATAATGATTGTGGTGGTGGTGGTGGCAGCAGGAACAGGCTTCAGGACGACAAATCACGATTCCCATCCAGCAAGTCTGGTTATGTTATTTTCACAGTAAACTGATGGGCCTGCAGTGATGTGGTGTGTGCTGAATTCGTGTGCCTGTACTTATGCTCCCTGTTGTGTTTGCACAGAAAATAAGGCTCTGTTCTGGTTCTCACGTCACATCTCTCTTTGGGGGAGCATCTCCTTCTACTTGGCCCT